CATTTCAGGACTCTGGATTCGTCTCTGGTCGTCCTCGGCACCCCCCGAGTGTGCACGGATCTCTCCAGAGGAACTATTTGAACTGAGTGATTTTATCTGAACTCTGCAGTGCCTCTGTGTGCTGTCTCTGGCTGCTCACCGCCGTTGCGTCGTCCCCCCCAGCGTAATGTCGGCGTTATTATGTGCACGTGTGCAAGATTTTTTTTCATTATCACACTGTTGACCTTCAAACAAAGGTTAAAAGCGTGTTAGGAATTTTTTTGTCTCCAAACCCTATGTGTCATTTTTCACCACTTTTATTGTCCAAACAGGTCTCACTTGTAAATGAGTTTTCGAGGCTCAATGTGACTCATCTGTTTAAATAAAGGTTGAATGAGTGAATGTAAAAAGTGAAATCTGTTCCAAAGACCAGCTTTGATTGCAGAAGGAGCTTCTTGTACGTCTTGGTCAGCCTTGTTCGCTCTCAAAAGTCCACCTTTGTGTTCATCATCAGGAGGTTATTAACATTAAACAATACATTATTTTAACATTTTGTTCACGTCAGCATCAAATAATAGATTATAACCCCTACATCTGCTTTCCAGAGACCTTTTTAATCTCCCAGCGACCAGCACCAAACTTGGAGCAGTTCGTAGCTTACCTGTTGGCTCCGAGTGTTACCCTTCTGATTTAGTATATCTTGTTCCATGTTTTCATTTTAATGCTGTTGTTTTAATTTTTTAAGGTATATTCTTACTGCTTTTTATTTCTCAGTGTTACCCTTAGTGTTAAGCACTTTGATAACAGTCTATCTGTTTTAAATTGTGCTCTATAAATAAATATGACTTGACTTGACTTGACTTCTGGCACACACAGCGCAGTCTGCTCACTATTTTGATTTTTTATAGTTTTCTCTCCATTTCAGGTGGTGATGGCTGTGGCTCAGTTATATTTCCACCTGGCCCCTAAAGCAGAGGTTGGTGTAATTGCCAAAGCCTTGGTTCGTCTCCTGAGGAGTCACAGGTGAGCTTTAAAATACTTAGTTCAAACTAAATACATTTTTGATTGAGCTGATCACAACACACCAGGAAAAATATTTCATAATATGTTGTGAATGGCTGTAGGAGACCAGATAAAACCCTTTCATGACTCTAAAAACACAGCAGAGCTGATAACGGTGC